AATGACACGGCTTGCAAAGATAAGCGCTTTAATTTGGAAAAACGGAAGCCAGCGATACAACAAATGTGCTTCGTGAGCGTTCCGCCACGGCATGTGGACACACTGTATTAGACCATAAAGGCAAATTGCTTATGCGATATATTTCACTGACCTGAAAAAAAATAGGTGATCGAAAATTGTATTTTGATGTTAGTTTTAAATTGTATTCATTCTTTCTAACAGCTAATACAACATACGAAGCAATTTAATTCTCATACAGGGCACATATTTTAACATAACAATACACGTTTAGCATTATAAAATATAAAACTTCTTTTTAAAAAAAAACGTAATAAACAAATTAAGCTGGATAAAGACTTTGGAAAATTTCATTTAAAAACATATATTTATACAAAAAAGACCGGCAGAGTATCATCCTGAATATTTGGTAAGTTATACAACATTATATGTTGTTTAGAAAACAATAAGGAGCTAATTTACCAAGGTAAAATATTTAAAGCTCAGATTTACTGTGAAATTTTTCTTTTACACCGCGCTATTATTTTTGGCGTAGTGCAATTTTTTAATTGGTCAAAACAGAATTTTCTTTCTTTTCGAAGGATCTCGATTTTCTCCTTCTTTTCTATTCTTTGTTAGGCGTACAATTAATTGGCCGAGCTGGTTAAGACGGCGAGTCGAACATTTAAGTGTGTGTCTGAGCTCTACTTAGCAGTTACGGGTTCTAAAAATACAAAAACCCTGATTAACTTTCCCTCTTGGGCACGCACTCATTCGCGTAAATTAGTTGACATTGTGTTAAAAATATCTCGACACACAGAAAAAAGTACAAAACAGCGGAATATTTCTAAAAGCGAAATACCGATTATTTTTGTCACGCGACTATGAAGAATTTAAAACAAAAAGATAAACCTTTTAGAAACAAATAGTGCAATTTTACGTGTCAAATTGTGCAATGCTTATCTAAAAAGGAAGAACCGATATGATAAATATTATGTGACATTTCTATTAAGGAGTTTAAGCTTTGATAAATTAAATATTTAATTAAGCAATGAAGTTTTAAGAAGATTTGAACTTCTTATCTTATAGGCGATATTAAGGAGTAAACGAATTTTCGTGATTAGGATAAAATATCTCCAAGAAATGTCAGTTAATCATTCTACATGTAATAATTTATTCATCAGTATTCGCTGTAATTATGGATTTTCCAATCTAGCACAGATCGATAGAATCTTCTCTAAAAATTCCTTAAGATTCCGTACGACAAACATACGTGACTTGTAGAGATGGAATAAGCCGTGGTTTTATTATTTCGCGTAAAAATGTGCAAAAATTTTCAAAAATGGAGAAAGAAATCCTAAGATTTACATAATCATTAGAAAAATATTGGTAATTAAAAACAATAAGTCTTAGAATTGACCCTTCTCAAACCGGTTTTTCTTTAAAGTCTAATGTTGCCTACTACGATTTCTTGTCACCGGAGCGAATAAAAGTACACTACACAATACTTTCACACAAAACCAATATGACACCTCAAGAAGAGCACCACACTTTATGCCCTGAAGATGACCCGTATAAAGGTCGAAACGTCCGCAAACTAATAAAAATGGTGTTTTTCTAAACTACCTCATTATTGACCGCTTGTCTTCAGCAAATTAATAAAAATCAAATTTATTGCGCCTTTCCATTATATTTGTGAACAAGTTAGAACTGAAATAGTTGAAAGAAGAACGTTATGGCTGAGGACAAACTACCACGGAAAAGGCTGGAAGACTGGATAAGGATATTTTATGACTTTCTTGTTCTGTCCAACGACTAAAATTTAAAATAAATATAAAGTACAAGGAAAATTTGGTCATTGACACAATTCAATGTAACACCGTACTGATTTATCCTTGTAGATAATTACAAATAATTCAACTTTTTCCGTTATCCTGATTAAACGATTGAACTTTATTTAACTGGAAGGCTGGAAGTTAAGGGCGACCGTATAAATATATTGCGAATTTTGCGGTTGGTCGCCTCGCCGTGAGAACTTCGCCAGCGAGTGGGGTAAATGTTTGTATCATATAACAAACCAGACATTTATTCCTATGGAAGAGGAAAACACTTGGGAACTGGGGGTTAATATACTTTATCAGGTCATGATTCGAGATTATTGTTATTTTTGGATCCGGCAGTATCATTATTATTCATTATTATTCATTATCATCATTACATTTCTATTGACGTTGGCAATAAAACGCAAATAATATAATAAAATTAAAACAAATATAATCGATTCCAATTCGATAAGCCTTGTTGAAACATCAGTTTATCCGTCCTCGTTTCATCTTTGCAGATAAACTTTACGACGATTCCAACTTTTATTTATTTATTCTAGGCAAAAGCAAAACTGTAATTATTAATTAAATCGCCAAACACGATTTAGCGAAAAATGAAAATAAATACATAAAGCAAATACACTGCCTATAAAAAAAAAAAAAGGTTTTGCAGGAAAAAATGACCAACTTTGGAAATGCAAATTTTCTCCACCCTTTAAGGCTCAAACCTGCGCCAAGTCTCATATTTTAGAAATTACGCTAAACAAGATTGCTTTTTTAAATGTTTTCCTAGCTTCAGTCATTCATCAGTAAATTCAACAATTCGGGAACATGTTAATTTTTGCACTTTTTACGAAAACGTCAAATTGTATTATGGTGCCAAGGAAATCGCCCTATAGAATTTGATAGAAAATTTTAATAAACTATCAATTGGTCACCTTCCACATTGCCCGATTTCAAGTTTTCGAGTTATTCACGATTTTTGGGGAATAATGTGCTCTTGGAAAAAACCGATCACTCTCTCTCCCGATTTTATTGTTCATAAACCTATTGTTTCAATATGTTATCCAAAGCCAAAATGCCACAAACATGTGAAATGAGAAGGAAAAGTTGAATTTCCGTAATGAGATAAACAAATGTATATCGACAGCAGAAGCATTCTGCATCCCAAAAGGTCAAAGTAAGAAAATCTAAGAATTGTCACTTCCCTGTTCTGTTTTTGAAAAAAGCCTCGGAACAAAATTTGTAGAGCGTAAAATTTGCGAAAACATGACTGTTCAAAATGTATGCATTCTTGAAAATCGGAAGAGGGAATTTTCGGAATTACAGCCACACATAAAAAGGCCTAATATATTTAACCTTTTTTTACTCCATGCTTATCGAATTTGAACAAAAAGGCCCTCCTATCTGATATACGATAATGAAAACTTCCCAATGATAAGAAAATCACCGTTTGGTATTACATAATGTCCTCGGTTAAAAATGTAAACATTTGTTTTCAAGATAAAAATTTAAAACCTAGTTTCAAATTCGAAATGGAAAGACCAACGATGTAGCAAAGCAAGCAGTACTGACAAATCTGCCCCTTTGAAAAGTGATTTCTATCTGTGAAGAACTGTTGACTCCTCTGATATTCTTAGTCGTTATAATATTAAACCTTGGTGAAATTTATAATCTTCATTATTATATTTTTTCTAGTAAGTGTTTAATATTTCAATGTTTTTCATGTTTTAAATTTTTTTTTTTTAAATATTGTAATAAAATGGACTATAGCTCATATATGAATAAAAATATACCCAAATCCGATTTAAATGTATAATTTATTCGTGAAATTTGATAAATCTGGCAGACAGATTTTAAAAAAGCGTCTTCAAACTTTCAAAGTTGTATTTAGTAAAAGATTATTTTCCGTAAACGATAGAGTGTTTTTACATTTCTTTTTTGGCTCCAGGGGCTAGTAGAAAGGTTATTAGAAGAATGTGAATATTTTATAAATAAATATTATAAAGAGTGTATTTATTTTTAATAAAAATTACGCGATTGCTCGAGTTGATGTAATTTTCTGACCGCGATAGTCATTAATTATAGTTGTATTTAATTATTTTTTCAAATATCTGTTACTTTAAAAATTTGAAACGCACTTTTAAAAGTATTACCTATAAGTACCTTTGTTTTTAAACCACTTATTGAAACAGCGGTCGCTAAACATCATTCGTGTATAAGTATCGTAAAAGATTTTTTGGTTGGATGTTGATATTATATTTTAAAGGGAAAGAAGAATACACTTGTACGAGTTTAAACGAATTGTCTAGTCGAATCCACTGGGATTTCGGAAAAAAATTGTTGGTTGCTTTCGTCTAAACGAGTAATGCCCAATCTTTTGTAAATGTCAACAGGTAAAACAGATTAGCGTTAATTACCATGTTAAGGGCGACGAGACGTACCAATGCTCAATATACGCCTCTGAAGCCATCCATGGGCCAAGAATCGCTGTTTTTCTTTCAATTTTACATTACATTCTCTCTACGCTGGACGCAATTTCACAACGGATTGACACACATTAAAAGTAGGGATGGGAATTGCCGAGGCGGCCTCCGATAGCCGTTTTCCGTTCCAAGGACCCTCTGGTGTGCACACCGTGGGTAAAAAAGTTAAAGTGCACAAGTGAAGGGGCATCAATGCTCTATCCAGTCGGAACTCGAAGCCGGCCATCATCCTGATTATTACATAACTCCAGAGGTGTTCCCCAGGTAGATAGTCCGGCGCGATTTCCCAAACAAGCGCCAAGAAGAAATGGAGTTCATCGCGATTTTTCTTGGCTTCCGAATGGCTACTTTTCCAACCATCTGAGCGGGTCTTTATGACAAGAGTAGCGTCCATATGACTTCTTCGGACCGGTATTCCCTTAAGAACTAGCACCATGGATTACATACACAAATTTACAATTTTCACAAATTCAACCCTACTCAGATCATCAAGTTGAAAAGAAAGGAAACAACGCAAATTATTATTATTTTTGTTTGTTTTGGGTTTTTGTATAGAAAATTTTGACATGGTTTCGTCTGTTTTATATTACAAAACACTGTTTTTATTTTCACATGTCATTTATTTAGGAAAAGGGACAATTTTTTAAATATGTATTGCATATATAAAGATGCAGGAAAAATATTAAACACTCACTGTTTGAAGACGGCGATGGTAAATTATCCAAAATGAGCACACCACACTATTTGCATATTTGACCCAATGGAAATTCGTTGGCACATGGGTCAGACGGGAATATCACAATCACACACACTTTCTTCTTTACTAAATATACATATATACTTTTTTTTAATGTTTTTGAAGATCGGCGAGCGACTTTTTAGATAGCGAGCCGGGTAGACGTTCACGGTAGCGAAGGCGAAGAGAGACTGAATGTGAATGAGGCGCGTGGAGGCTCGGCGGATATTGCGACACCTAGCGAGCATCGGCTCGACTAAACGGACCTGACGCCCCCGCGACAAAATATAAACGATGACACAGAAGATCATCTGACAATAATTTTTTAATTTAATTCAATGAATCAGGCAACGCCCAACTAGTAATAATGATAAAGTGACAGTTTACAAGATATTATCTAACGATTATTTGGAGTTCGTGAGATGCGGTCTGGTGTGATGTAGGTTTTAGAAAAACATTTTCTTTCTCGTGCTGACGTTTCGATCTTTATTGAGATCATCTTCAGTGCCTGGGATTTATAAACATTGTTTAAATTATACAAATGCATGTAGGATGTGAAAAAAGTGAATTTATACAATGCTAGAAATTCACTTTTTTTCACATCCTATATGTATTTGTATAATTCAAACAATGTTTATAAATCCCAGGCCCTGACGCTTTACGAAAATACGTGTTTAATATTTTGTAGTCTAGCTTCAAATTTTTACCTTTATTTTCGGAAAATTATACAGGCTACCTCAGGCCCAGTTCAACTTCAAAATTTCAAATATGACCCTATACATCCTGACACAAACGCCTGATCAGGTTCCATTATTGATTATGGTGCCATCTGTATACCATACCATTCCTAATTTCCTCTTGAATTCTTCTTCTTCTTTAGTAGTCTGTTTAGACTTCTAAGAATGGGGACTGATTTTATTAATTGTTGTTGAATAGCCGAAGTGTTAATTTCCCATCTAGTTTGACAGTTTTTGGAGACAAAAGTTGTTTATTTTCCTCGCTTTTTCTATATATTTATAAAATATCTATTTACTTATATTGATGGAGGTAGGTTTAACGGTGAGTTGTGTGATACATACGTTTGCCTGTCTTTGTATGCTACCTGATGTTTGAGTAGGTTGTTTTTGCTAAGCTTTCTCCCATCAGATTAATGAGCCGTAAGATAATTTGGGTGTTATTATTAACGTATATAACCAATGGGCAAATATCAGTTTGTATTTGGACTTGTAATAAATTGAACCAAAAGCTCATCGAATTGAAGATTTGGGTTACGGACCGGCGGAAACCACAGGTCTCGAATTCTTATTTTTCTAGTGAGAAGACGTTTTTAATACTCAATTCAGGAATTAAATGATAACCTAAATAAAAACTGCATTGCCTTAACATCTAGCCAATCATTTCCTGAAAATCCTTCAAACAGTAATAATTATGTGCTAAATATCTCGAAAACCCAGTACCATACAACCATACACATAAGATTCCAAAGACCTAGTTAAAAAAGGATGTAAAAATTCTTATGGAGAAACATTCTCAGTATGATACTGGTTTTTACGGCTCTGTCTAAATAATATTTTAATTTTCAAAATTAACATAAAACAGTAGACCTGAGAATTTCGTAGGCTATTATAATTATTATAATTTTATATTCTGTTGGACGAGTGCATATTTTTTACTGATGGGAATATTTTTTCAAAAATATATATTGTTTTTGTGAAGGTGAATGAGCTTAGGGCATTTGCATTCATATTTATACATAAATATGTAGACATATTTATACGCATACATGCGTATGGTTTGCTGGGATAAATGAGGTCACGGGTGACCGTTGTACCTGTGCACGTCAGTACGTAAGGTTCCTCTTTTCTCCCACCAGATAAATGGCATAATAATTTTTTCGTGAATCAGGGCTTTTAGAACGGCTTGAGAGACAATAAGCTTTACGTAATTCACTCTTATTCGTAATCCACTTTTCGTCCCCTGTAATTAAACGACAGAGAAAAGGCTCTTAGCAGTAAAGAGCAAATGGTTACCTGATCCGCTATGTTTCGTTCCATCCAAGCTTAACTTAAAACAGTGAATTTGTGAATAAATCCACCGGCCTTCTGGAAGGGCTATCTAAGACGATAAAATATAAATACGTATATTTGTTATCAGGCGATGTCTTGTCACGTGAAATTTCGCATATTCCTATTCGAAATCGTTCGAACGACGTTTGAAATTAATCTATTTTAGAACAACTGCACAAATCTGTGTGTAATCATTTTCAATTTGAATATTTCCGAGCTATTTTTATATATTTCAATTTCCACAAAAAATATGTAGGTAGTTAGGTAGTACCTTTGTAACGTCATGAATCTCATTGGCAACGTTTTAGAAGCATATAGACAAGAGGAAATATAATTCTTTTGAAAAGTTTTATTTTTTTCTCAGCTCGTATTATTTTTTCTAAACACCTTCTTTCAGTCTGTAGTAGTAATACACAATACAACTACAAAAATAATTACTCAAATAAGTCAACTACTTTTAGAGAAAATACATCAAACCATTAATTACCTGGATTAGTGAAGAGATGCATCCAATAAATTCTTTCGGGGGAATTAAAGAGTCCTAAAATTTCCCTATGTGGTTTTATTGGTGGTTGATGCGAAACCCAAAACGGTAATGCCAACCGAACCGGAATATAGCTGGTTAGTATTTTAGGCGTTTGATGTTTTATTATATTTATTTAATTTTTTACGAGGGTTCGCAACAGGAGAGATCATATCAACAATCGGTGTGCCGGTGGTTTTGGAAAAAAACAAAACCTTTGTGAGTATGACGGGTTCGAATGCTGGGCCACGGGATTCGAATCCGGGGCCTTTTACTCTACGGCTTTGAAAATTAATGAAATTGAAAACAAGCACCGCGTGAAGGCCTAAACCGTTACACCCACCTACGCAGCTTTTAAATACAATAATAATTTATTTATTATTGTATTTCTTTGTATATTTAATTCTTGAGTTATTTATTTATATATAGTTTTTACAGACGCACTTATTTATCTATTTATAACGCTGTATATATATTTTTATATGAATTTATAATTTAGGATTTAGTTACATTCCTGAGCATGTTGGGGTTTTTTGTTTAAAAAATTTTTCCACACAATCTGTGACATTTTTTTTAAATTACGCGGTACAAATCCACTGCCTTTTTTCTCAGTTGTGAAATGTAAATTAATTTGTAAAATAAATTTATCTATTTATTTATCTAGGCCAAAATATTAAAAAACACAACTTTCAGGATAAGAGTTGTTTTTCGGTGTTTGAATAAATTTTATGTAACACTTTTCGCCCCTAGTATCAAAAAAATTAGTTTATCATCGATCTAGTTGTTCTTAACTGTTTATTCCAAGCTAACAACGTTTCATCAAGTTTTATACTTTTTTTTTAATTTTTTACTGTGTTGGTGTTCGTGTTCTGACGGTTGCTCTTTTGCTGATTATCATGTGAGATTATTTTTAGATTTTTATTTCTTAATGGTGACGAAAAGAAAAACGGTTTTCAAGAAGCGAAAGAATGTTAGGAAGTTATTGTCGACTTCTCCACAAATTATAGACCCCGACCCGGCCACTTCATAGTCTCGACTCAGCAGAGAACATGATGTTTATCCGTCTGCTTCTCTATGTTCATCTTGCGCCTCTTTGATAGAAATATAAACAATCCTGGACATTTTTGTGTAAGTATTTTGTTATCTCCATAAAGAGAAGTATTTTATTTTAAATTTTGAACTGGGAAATGATATGCATAGGCATCCAGCTCAAAGTCTAAAACTTGCTTATATTAAAAATAAATATAAAATACTTCTATTTATGGGAACTGCATAATTTTTATACCAAAATATACTGAAAGACTTCTAGGTTTTTGTTACAAATATTGTGTAGTAAAAATACAATTTTATTGACATTTTCAAGTTGGTCAAGAATAGAGATGGGTAAAACCGTACTTTTTAAGATCGGATCAAAACGGCTAACTCAGTGAAATGAATCAACTCTTTTTCATGGCTTATCACCCTTATCATTTATCTTAGCCATAATCCCATGGGGCGACAACTTTGGCGTGTTTTTTGAGTTCCGGTATATCAGCGCCAGGGCCAATCGTAAAGGTAGATTGTCTGAATTACAGGGTTGTTACACAGAAGAAATGACGTTTCTAGTTTTCTATTATTGCCAATAAAATTCAATGAAAACGTGAAGAAAGTTGAACAGTTTGTCATTTCGTTTACATAAAAATTAACAACCCGAATGAATAAATCAAAAATAAAAAAATATAAATAACAACAAATAATTATTTTTTATTGCAATTCTAAAGGTATACTCATTGCATTTTGTTTTGTACTTTGAGCCAAATAGATAAAATAAATTAAGATATATTTTTAATCTGAAAACATTGTAATTGTTGCATTGCAACTGAGTATAACCTGTAAATAAATAAATAAGACCTAGAGTAATTCTCAAAGCTGGGAAGTGGGATTGTCGAGTGTTGAAACTTGCACGTGCGAGAACGGTGCAATAAAGCTGACTCCGGACCGCTTGGAGGGTGAATCAGGAGAGCGAAGAAAGTTGGAAGCAGGGAGCGATTGGAGCTGAGAGCTGTAAGAGCGGAGAATGTCCGGAGAGGAGACTTCCTGGATGTGCAAAAAGGGTGAAGTCACTTGTTGGTTATTGAGTGTTGGTAAAGACAAAATTCAAAATTAAGCATTGATGGCTGAAGAGTTGGTTTTGAAATGGAAGGGATATCAGAGTTACCGTTCTTTTTTCAATGCGGCTCATCGCTATCTCAGTAAAGTGAGTTAACACTTGTTATCCGTTCGCGAGCGGAGCCCCACCTCCAGTCATGCGCTCTTTGTAAAATTGGAAAAATTTTACTCAATTGCAACTACTCACCATCTTTAAATCGGACGCAATGTTCACTCTTTCACAGATTAACGTCTATACTGGAGCAATCGCATTACACTTTGCAAAACTCTAATAAAAACCTGACAGTTTTCTATCTAAGCAAATAATTTTTTTCCGGGGCTAGTGATGGTCATTTCAGCACCTAACATAAGCGCGAATTACCTTTGTTGGTGTCGTCATGCCTTACTCACGCATTGTAGAGAGACCTATTTCTACAATCAGGTGAAATTCTTGTTGACGTGAAATAATAAATAATATGCAGATGAAATGACGAATTAAAAAAAAACAAAAAAACAATCAAATGAGAAAGATGGGTGACGAAACGACTGATATATGGCGCATAGAGACTCAGGAAATTTATGAAGCGAGACAAGGTTCCAATAATCTACATGAATTTCTTTTATGTGCTCGAGAATCGGCTGTCAGGCATCATTAGATTTTCAATATGATTTATGTGTAGATTGTCGACAAGTCGATTTTCAGGCGAAACAGTGTAGATGTCTTGGCGATATTCAGATAAGGAGTTGAAAGCAATAAAACTGGCAAAATAATTTTGAAATTAAATAAATTTTTATATTGATTGAATTTTACCAAACGAAATGAATATATTACTTTTTTTCTAAAGCGACGAGGAGCGTGATAACAAGAAAGACGCCTGTAAAATTAGTATTGCGCCAGACACCTCCATATCACATTTAAGTATTTTATTATTTTTTGACTCACTTTTTTTCCAACAGTTACTGCCGTATGCAAAGCGATCTCACTTTTTTTTTTCCAACAGTTACTGCCGTATGCAAAGCGATTTCATGTTTACTAAGCCCCGGCATTACCGGTTAATTTATTGGCACTTATTTTCTCTTTGACCTCCATCAATTATATCTTGTATGTAAATAGCTTTAGAAACAAGAGTATCTCCAGTACATGCCTTTCAGAAGAAAAACTTATGATTATAACAAAATTGTTTTTAGATAAAAAAAGAAAGAATTTTTTTTTCAATATTCTTCTTCTATGTGTACCCAAACCGTTAACGGACGTTAGTCACCATGATCGAAATGCGCACTGCATCAATACTAGCTCTGAAGATGGATCCAGTGCTTTGGTTGAACCATTATCTTAGGGTTTTCAGCCAGGAAAATCTTCTTTAACCAAGGCCTCGTCTCCCTTCGAGTTTTCCTCCTAAAATAATTTTAAGCAGTTCTTATTTACCGGGTGACGTACAATATGACTGATGTACCCAAGTTTCCTCGTTTTTACTGTTGTGTTAATTTCTGTTTGTTTATTCTTCTGAGAACTTCCACGTTTGTGTTGTGTTCTGTCCAGTTTATGTTTAGTAACCTTCTAGGTCTGTTGGTGTCCAAGCTGCGACACCATATAGCAGAGGTGAGAAGACGTAACATTAAATAATCTTATTCTTAATCTCATATCAAGTTCGTAACTGCACAGTTTCATTTTAGTTAACCCGTTTCTTGCTTTTTCAATCCTAGCTTTTATATTTTCATATATTGAAGTATGAATATATAATTATTCAGAAATCGTGAGATGCGGTCTGGTGTGATGTAGGTTTCAGAAAAACATTTTCTTTATCGTGCCAACGTTTCTATCTTTATTGAGATCATCTTCAGGCCCTGGGATTTACAAACATTGTTTACATTTAACAAATACATGTAGGATGTGGAAAAAAGTGAATTTATACAATGCAAAATATATTTAATACTCAATCAAANATGTTTAAAAAAATTGATTTTATTTGGAAATTTAAGAAATGAGGAAATGAAAGCGTTCTTTTCATTCATCATTCATACGCTGGTTTTCCCTTCCCTCCAATTTAAAATAACACGAGTCCGGGCTTTCTTACCGATAGGACCTAAGACACGAGAAAAAACATATCTTAAATAATCTTTGCAATTTTGTATCCTTACCTGACACATTGAAGAAGGTCAAATGCCGAAGCGCTATGATCAGTAAAGATGAAATGTCGAGTTCATCACCCCGCAGACCACACAAGAAAATCTCACAATATGGTTTTTAGCTCTTGCCAGTTTGGGGTGTATTGCACCCCAGCGTTCATTTTCTTTTAATTACCACTCTTCTTTTTTTCTCAAGGATTTTGTGGCTACATATAACCTATAAGATATGACAATTCCTTTAAGAAATAGTTTGAACGACTTAGAAGTTAACTTAATTTTACAACTGTATGAACTTGTGTGCAATAATTTCCACTTTGAATATTTCAGGGCTATTTTTACTCGGTTCATTCAAGGTCCACAAAACAAATAGTTAATGTCTTTTGACAGGATGAATCATATTGGCTACTTTTTAACAGCATATAGACAGGAGGAAATATAATTTGGTAAATTGAAAAGAAAAAAATATACAGATAAGGATTTAAAATATTGGGGTTGAGACGTTGGCAGCCCTTCTTCGAGTGGAGGAAAATTAGGGGATGAGTGGAAGACATCAGTTTTCGTGCATCCTTCAAACAGCAAACGTGTCTGGAACTCAGTGTCACATTTTTATTTGTGTAATTGTGTCATATTCATCATTTTCATAGACATTTAAAAAAAATTTCCATTTCACTTCATGTTATTCTTTATTGCAAATAATCAGTCAATTGTAAATTTAATAAACTAAAGATTTTTCTTTCTCATTCATTAACTTTCAATACTGTCCACATAAATATGCAATGTGGCAACCAAATTGGTACGAAAATAGTGTTTTTTATTTGTAGTTTAAATAGTCTTCTCAGCTCCTGTTATTTTTCTGAATCTTCGTTCAGTCGGTGGTAGTAATGTAATAATGCAAGTAAGGAAATAATTAATCAAATATGTCCTCTTTCCTCTCAAGGATATTGAGGCTTTAGATAACTTATCAGGTATTTATCAAATTAGCATGAAACGTCAAATCAGAAATTAGCCTTGAATTATAAACATTTTATTATCACATGTGATTTGTAGTGTGATACACCTGGTGATCAATATTTTTTCTTTTTAATTGTCATTAATGTAAAATGCTGGTAAACCTCAACAACTTGCACAAAGTTGATTCCCAATGCGGAAGAAATATTTCAACAATTATTTTGGCTATATGAGGACTTTAATGGGTTGATTGCCGCACATATCTCTTAGGCAGGATCGGTTAGATAAGATTTTAAGATAAGGTGATAAAATGATAAGGTGATAAGGTTCAGGATAAGTGGGTAGGAAGCATTTATGTTTATAAAGCATGTAAGTTAAAGTTGTTGTTTTTTTAATTAAAAAAAAAACAAGCTTGATATTCCTATTTTGAACTAAAAAAAAACCTTGAATGTGTTGTCGGCTACCACCCTTACTGATAAGTCTCACTTCGACTTTGTTCAACTTTGAACGGCCGGGGGTCGTTGGCCGAGTGGCACCTTGAAAGCTATGGGCGATTTGGCTTAAACATGCTTATAGCACTTTAATATTGGGAATAAAAATGACGCAAGGTGCATTTTCTAAACTACTAAAATTTATTTAACATTCAATAAATCAATAAAACAAACAAACTATGCAATTTAAAACACATATATATACACTGACAGGCAAAAATTCCACCTAACTGATTTTTTTGTCATTTTCTCGATAAAAGAAAATTATGCAATTAATTTTTCATTGTTTTTATCAATAAATATTTGTTTTTGCAATGTTTTTAATTGGGAATATCTATTAGACGTAAACCTCCAAAACAAGGATAAAGGTTCAATGTTTAATTTTTACAGAATTTAAAATGTTTATTCAGTCTCATTTAAATTCTGAAACAATATATTGTTTAGTTTTCATTTTTGTTTTCTTAATTTCAATTTTTAAACGTAAAAGTGCCATTTAGTGCTGAGGATGTTGCGCGTATTGATGATGGACGTACCATCATGTATGCGGCTATTGCAATCGGAGTTCCCTACGAAACACTACGAGTCTCTAGTTCTTCTCGAGGACGAGGTCCAGACCACGTTCCTGAACAGGGAACATCGTATGGCCGTGTTCTTAGACCTCGAGAGGGCCAAAGATACGACATGGAAGGGTCACGAGTTCGGTATGAGAGGCAGACTTCCGGATTGGATTAGGAGTTTCCCCAGCAACCGGAAGTTTAGGGTTAGGCTGGGAAGTACCCTATCCAAAAGGGGAGAGAGCCCCTCTTTGCGATTGCGGTTAACGGTATCGTCGACGTTATTGAGCCCCAGAAGATGATCTGAATCTACGTCGACGATACCGTGATGTTATAGATTTATAAGAAGTCGGAACAAGTGTACAGTCCGCAATCGACAAACCTTTGGTTACGATGCGACCAAATGGGCAAGGCCGGATCATTTCTTATATAATACCCAGAGAAAGATAAACCCTCCTGAGGACCAGTACGAGGTCGCTGGCGATAAGAGCCAAGGAATATTAGCGGCCCAGGGAGTAGAGCTGAACCAGGTGGAGGCAGAAAAGCTACCTGAAACGTCCCCTTGGTTATTCCCCTCCTTCATCGTACGGTGGGATATGGCAAAATTATAGAAAAACGAGACAACCCACTATGCATATAAAGTAATGTTTGACGCTCTAAATGATGAGTAATGCAGACGGGTCCAAAACGGCAGAAGAGCGCGTGGGATTTACCGTGTACACGAGGGAGAAGTTAACAATCATCGCTTCCTCCAGCCGAGAGCTTGTACATGGTGGAACTAAACGCCATATACCTCGCGCTGTGCATGATCGACAATGAAAACTCTTTTTGTTAAGTACCGATTCTCTCAGTACGGTCCAGAAGCTCAGGACAGCTTTTATCCAGCCTACGTGGATAAAAGAACATAGTTAACTTGGATCGATGCAGATTTTAACTAGATGGATTGTAACTAGATAATAAAAATGGACACAAATGAAAACGTATTGAAAGTCCAATTTCCTACATTTTGCGTTGATACATACCAAAAACATATTTTTACCACAACTTTTATATCCATTTTGGCCAAATAAAAGAAAACGAGTTGTTGCCAGATGCATAGAGGCACTTGAAAGTGAGACACCTGTAGGTGCTTTTGGGAATTGGCTGATTAAGTTAAAACCCAAATACACAGTTCTTTGGATATTCGTTATGGATAAAAATAATATATATTATTTATGTTAGCTAAAAATAAATCAAATCGGGATGTAATGTATTTTTTGTAAGTGAAAAACACTCAATTTTGTAACAACTTTATTTTATTCAACAATTAATCCTGTAGGGTGCATACATTCACAAGACGTTAATTTTTATTTATTTATTTTTTTATATATTTTTTTAAACTAGATTTCCATAGTTTAGTCAACCTTAAATCTGGTGTTGGTAAATATTTCACTTGAAGTCGGACAGAAGAGATATGCGACTGAACTGGTCATTTTTCATTTTCCATCCTGTCCTATATAAATGCGATAGATCATAATTTAAGAATAACATATATTAGATATGTTTTTGTGAGGAAAGTTTCCTGTTGATAAATTGAAGATGTTTAACAGAAGGTTCTACTTGCCTTTTTGTTGACTACGTATTCTCAGCTATTAATGTTAAATGTATTATTGCAAATTACTGATTTATGTAAGCTCAACTCTTCACCCGTATATACATACATACGTATACAGAATCGAACTTAAGACTTTTTAGAATCACGTACCTCGTGTTTGGCAGTTACCGAAGTTAGGCTCCAGGCGCTATCAATAGCTAGGTTATTTCAGTTCCCAATGCATTTTTAAAACTAAATCCACTGACATTAGTTGAGTACTCGACCTGATTTATAACTAACATCTACTTGATCGTCCATATTTTCCCATCGACCATCTAGCACTACCTATTCACACAATAACACAATTCACTCTCAAAATACACCAAAAAGAAAAACAGCACGAGATATCTATCAAGTACCTACTATACAATAAAAATCCAAATTCCTCAAAGAATCGGAACAGTGGACCAAAATGCTCGCTGATATGCAAGCACAATTATCACATCAGGTGGCATTAGTACACGCTCCCATCCAGTAACTTTTCCCAACAAACCGGACACAAGTCCAGACAGTAAGTCGGGAGAGTATGATCTCTCTTATTTGATTCAGGTCCTCCAAAGGCAACCATCGACCGAGCAGTTGACACCTGACAGCTTCTCTGCCAATGCAGCCCACCGAGTTCTCGGTGGTTAGGTCGGGGGTTCTCTTCTATCCCGCTTTCTTTTAAAAAAATTGACATAACCCTACAAAAACCTAATAAAATTGAAATCCATGATAATGCGGAACCCCCGTTGATTTGAGACTTAATAGCCCTTACTTATTTATTTAATTTGTTATATTATTTTTTAGTATATATGACTGTTTAAATTGATGGAATTTCATAAGACTGTCAGAATTGCTAAATATTCAAAGAAATTTTTTAAACGGTGAAATGGTAGTTTTGAGTAATCATTTACAACACTTCATCTCGGTTGTTTTGTCTTAACAGCCGAGGGAATGAATCACGGTAGATTCGAGCCGGCAATCTTATCGATGTACTCACTCACTCTTTGTGCCCTGTTGTCATTTCCTGTCTGGTCAAAGGAAATACACCGACGGGCAGAATGGCAATAACGAAGCTTTCTAACGGAGTTGCAATTTAGAACAGTGAACCCACAGTTTTCATGTCACAACCTGTAAGAAAGAAAATCAGTATAAAACATAATGGCCGCTCTTAGTCTATTCATTTCATGCATTATAAATTAACAGTTTATTTGTAATCTATATATTGATTGAATCAACCACGTAATTTTTAAAAAACAAACTCAAACAGTGTGGTACTCTTCAGTCATTTTAAAATGTACTGTGTGCTGTGTGTATTTTAAGGTTGGAACTTCAGTAAGCTAGAATGTCCTGGAACGAAGTAAATGATAATGTCATAGTGGATAATAAGACAGAGCTTGGAGAATTATTCTTAGGACTTTTGAATGGATGGGAGGGATCAAATAGCTTTGTCGTATCCCACAGTTCTGTTCCTTATGTCTAAATTGGTCCAATTATTGTTTTATAACGTATTAGTTTGTTTGTTACAGTCCTGTATGCATTTGGTCATCCAACTACTGTATCTCTGTACAGTTCTTGTCGCTTCAGTCTAGTGTGGAGATTCCCCTCTTTCAGTCTACGAATAGTAAAAATAGTTAAATTTAAATTTCAAAAAATTTATTTATAGGTCACACATATAAATTATACTGCGTTTATTTATTTCTTTTTCTTTTTCTACATGCTTCACAAATAGTATGACATCTAGTAAAGGTACATCTCGCAAAAACTTTAGTATTTGTCTTCGTACATGACGTGTCGACGTGTGTTGCTGGAAGGAACGTGCAGACGATGCGTCGAAAGCCGGAGCTCACCGTCCAGACTTTACTATAGCGATCCGACTCTCTGGCGCTAAACGAGCAATAAACAGTATGGTTTGCTTTAATATCGTGCGTTCAAAAAACCTTCGAACGAATGATAAGGCAAGACTGGAATGATGGTTAGAAAATAAAAACATACTACCTGAAAGCCAGATGGGGTTCAAAAGATACAGATCTACAGCCGAGGCCCCATGTCTATTAGTAACAAAAATACAAATCGGTTTTACATCAAACATGGACACTTTCGCTTGGTTCATTGATATTGAAGCAACGTTTGACTCGGTAAACTTAAATATATTGTACAACAAAATGATAAATATAGGAATGTCCATACTGTTTGCTAAAAATGTTATAAAACTAATTTCTGAGAGAAATGTGTACTTAATGATAAATGGAACTAAATTAGGCCCAAGAAATGCCCATCAAGGTTTACCTCAAGGAGGAATATTAAGCCCCCTTCTGTACGCACTCTATGTCTATGATTTCGAAAGCGTGTTGTCACCAAATGTACAAGTTATACAATTTGCGGATGATGTTTGTGTTTTCACAACAAATAAAACTTTTGAAGCAGGTATTAAGACTATGCGATTGACGGCAGGAAAAATTAAAGATTGGGCTCTCCAAAATGGACTAAAAATCTCACCTAGCAAATCAAAAATGTGTGTCTTTTCTACGAAACACCATATATCACTTCCCGATCACTTGGACCTAGAAGGTTTTGTTATACCAGTAGTACAGAAAACTATATTTTTGGGTCTAACTTTATACAGAAAACTTAACTGGAAAGGTCACATTGCTAAACAAGCAAAGAAAGGAGAGCAACTGTTCAACACATTAAAATGTATTTCTCACATAACCAGTGGTGCATATCTCTGCATAAGTCTTATGTTTTACCGAACAATCATCAGAGCAATTTTTGACTTTGGAGCACCCTACTACGGTCAAGCAAGCAAAACTGCTCTGCAGAAATTAGATAAGATACAGTACAAATGTGTTCGGATTTTCATTTTTATTTTAAAGAACCGCTCACCTATTTTGTTTATCATTTACTTATTATCCTATACCGGGAAGCCCGGTCTAAAGGATTGGCCGCCCCACTCCGGGTACCACACGTCAGTCGCTTTTATGACCGAGCCTTGTTCGTCTCAGCACGCACCGCTTTCCATTTTTCTATTTTTCGCGTTAAACCCGCAAACGCTTTGCTACTGACCGCTTTCTGTAAAATCTCTTCTAGCATCCCTTGGAATTCTTCTGGATTGATTTTACACCTCGTAAAAACGCCGGAGTTGCTGGTACTTGTAAGTGGGCCGTCCTGCCAAAATACCCTATTTTTCATCGCTCCTGGATCCTTCTATTTCATGCTCACCTTTTATCATTCTCCACAACAACAGCTTGGTGAGTCTTTATTATTTAATTTCTTTATTTTATGTTTCAATCATTTTTTATTTTAAAAACTGTTTTAATTTATTTTATATTTTTTCTACGCCTCCCGATTACGTTCGGGTGGTCCTCCGTCGGTTAAAACCGCACAAAATGTCTGGAGCACTCCGGTCAACACTAATCGACATTCTTCTAGCCGAGGCAAACGAACCCCCGCTTGAGTGCAGAAGAAAAATGTTGACTGGTCGTTTTGTACTTCACTTCGTGGCTAGAAAGGCACAACTGTATCGCAACATAGCTCACTTGTCGTGTAAGGTATTGACATACAAGTATTGGATGAAAAAGAAAGAACCACCTTTAACGGCCGCTTTCACCAATCTTGCTAAATATGGATCAACAGCGGAGTCATTATGTCCTTCACCATATTTTAATAAAAGTTTCGAATATATTCGACAATATTGTATTCCCAAATTCAGATCCACAACGTACACCGATTCGAATAAAACCGAAGTGACTCAAAAATACCTTAGTGACCTATATGCGAGATTTCCAGACGGCCATCTTATATACACCGACGGATCACTCCTAAATGGACGAGTAGGGTGTGCATTTTACGATCCCGTGCAGAATTACAGCGAAAACTTTTTACTCCCACAGTACCTATCCATATACCTATATAGTGCAGAATTGATTGCTATATGGGAAGCTATGAAGTATGCGAATGACAAGCAATTCCCAAATGTCGTCATATGTACAGATTGTCATAGCTATGTTAAAAAACTTCGTATTGACAAAAAGTTGTTTATAGCGGACTACATTATCATCGAGATCCTTGAACTTTCAGCAATGATCAGGTCGAAAGGGCATAAAGTAGTACCTGGATCAAAGGCCATACGGAGTTCAAATACAGAGATGTCGTTTGGCCATCGGCTAGCCAAAGATGCCACCACAAAGGACAACACTATATATGTAGCTGTACCCAGAAAAGATCTGCATGCTATTTTAAGGTTGCAGCAGCAGATAGATTGGCAAACCAAATACCTTTCAAACAACAAAGGTATATTCAACAAAAATATGTTGCCGTTAGTAGACAAGAGCCTTGGTTCAGCAAAGAAAATAATTTAAACAAGGCCTTTTGCAAAACGATGGTAAGGTTACGATCCAATCACGGACTCTGTAAGGGATACCTCAACAGACTGAATATAATTCAGTCACCGTACTGCGAGGACTGTGGAATATACGAGGATCTTGAACACACATCATGCACTGCAGGAAACACGGGAATGAACGCAGAAATATGTTCGATGGACTTTTTAATGCCAAAAAAATAAATCTACAACCGCCTTATGTATACGGTACTTTGTTATCGTCGACCGAATTGGCTGTATATCGTGAGCAGTACGGTTTCCTTAGAAATAGTAATGTTACTGTGTGATTGTATAAAAGTGTATAAAAATATCCTAATATCTAGTTCTCAATAATAATAATAATAATGCAATAATGTAAACAAATGGTTTTATAAAAATTTTGGAGTTAAAAAAAAACAAAACAATATTGTAAAGAAAATGAGGCAGCGTCAGTTTTTCCGGGAAGCTCTTGCGCGTCGAGAGCAGCATTTGTAGGTGACCCCGGAAGAATCTAAACTGCTGAAAAACGATCACTCTAACCCGACTCAGAATTGGACACACGAGGTTGACAGGAACAAATACTTTTGGACCAAAATCTGTACATGTGCCCGGCATGTGGAGCGAGGTTGCTCAATGTGCACTACATAATTGGAGAGGGAGGGTCATTCCTTGGCTACACANTAGGAATGCCCCCGAAATAAGAATTGTGCACTCGAGCACGGCAGCGAATCTTTGGGTCTCCTAATCCGAAATATGGAGAAATTAGGATAATTTTGTATTTATAGATTTTTTGTCCATGTCCAGAGTGTTTAGGTTAGCTGTGGCTACTAAAGATCAATCCGACTTGTCCTCAACCGCTGGAGAAAATTTTCTTGTTTCTCCCTTATCGTTGACCTACTGTATGAAATTTTCCATTTCTAACGGTTAAAAAGGTGTTTTCTAATTATGTATGAGGGATATCTTTTCTAATCCACTGGTAGCTGTGCTCTTCGCAGCCTCCTTAGCCAAAAGATATGCTTCTTTATTAAAAAACCAATTCTTGCTCCTGATCTATGAGTCGCTTTGCTTGAACCGTTAGGTTTTCGCATAATTGGTGGATTTTTAAAATTTTTATCGACATAAGTCCATATAATAACTTTTTTTGTATCCCACCGAATTGCACCATACCTGTATTATTACACGACAATGACTTTAAAATCGCGAGCGAATTTCTTCCTGTTTAATTTTAAAAAAAGTTCTGTTCTATTTAAAAACATCCATACATTGATCTTTTCATTTAGTAGACTAAAAACGTAATTATTGTATTATGGGGGGGGGAGGAAGCTTGACGTCCAAGTACCCGCTGGATGTCGCGGATGAGAGGTGAAAACACTTTACAATACTTGCTCCCTATTATTTTCGCAATTAAAGATCTATTGGTTACGCCGTGATTTACACCAGGACCGGTAGCATGGCAAATACGGATACCCTAACCCTCGTCCACCGCGGTCCCTACTTAGCAGAGTAGATAGAATAAAAATAAAATAGTAAAACAATTGATACCACCACAAGTGAGCGTTAAAAAGCTTAATACAGTGGTATAACACCAATTCAATTAAACCTTACTGTTAAAGTAATTATTTTACTTCTAGTCACAAACTATCGTCCAAAAGTATATGTATAAACGCTGTACGAAAGGATCATTTATAACATTTATTCGGTTGGATAAGCGTCATTTCATAATGAGACGCGGGCTAGTTCCGCTTTTATCAATATTTCTGAAAGCCGT